GGACCTGGTCTCCATAGCATGCACACCCCGGTCCCGGGAGTTCCTGCCTCTGTGGTTCTGCCCCCAGGAATGATCTCGGGCAGCCAAGGTACTGATCATCTGGTTCAGCTCGGGTGGAGTCTTAGTAAGGATATCCCCTCCTGGGCATAGAGACTCGATCACCCTCTGGCTGTCTGGAGTGAGGGCGCTGTAGAAGTTCCCTACTGTGAAGGCATCGCTGAAACCATGATGGGGACACTGCCAGAAGTATCCCATGTACCGCTCCCATGCATCACGAAGGGACTCATCTGGCTCCTGGCGGAAGTGAGTGATCTCCCGCTGTATCTCTGTGGTCTTCGATGCCGGATAATACCGGTGCACGAACTTGTCAGCCAGATCGTCCCAAGAGGTGATGGACAATGGGGGTTGGGTCTCCAACCACCTCTTAGCATTCCCCGCCAGAGAATGGGGGAAGAGGTGAAGGCGGATTGCATCATCTGGAACACCATTCAGCTTGAACCCGTTCGTCAGCTGCAGAAAACGGGAAAGGTGTACCCGGGCTTCCTCATCCTTCAAGCCATGGAACTGGATAGAGGATGTGATGAGTTGGATCCAGCATGGCTTGATCTCGAAGTTGTTTGCAGGGATGGGTGGATAGAGGATGACCGGGCGGATGTCAGCAATCCGTGGAGTATAGTAGTACTCCAAGGTGGGACCCGGTGGTGGTGGATGATGATTGTGGCCAGCTCCCGGGGGGTTTTGGTCGTTCCCCAGGATCTGGTTGTGAGGAGGCGGGTTCTGATCGCCTTCCATCTCGTGCTCGTCCTCGGAGTCGCTGGTCAATTGGCCGTCTCGGCGCTCCACCGTAGCCAGTCTAGCTCGCTGTTGTCTCCGAAGTTGTTTGCAGGTGCGCTCAATCTCAGGATTCAACGGCAGTAAACTTCCCGACTGGCTACGGGTCATGCACTATCTGCACACAATCAAGCAAAGCAAACCCCGTGAAGGCACAAGTGGGAAAGACAAAACTCAATGCAAAAATGAAAATGCCAAAGTAACAGAAATCACTTTTCTTCAACAACCTAGCACTCCCCGGCAACGGCGCCAAAAACTTGACTCACTCCTACTGTCACCCTAGAAAATGGCCAAGTATAACCACTTCCTAAAGCGTAGTATAGCGGGTCGGGTTTTAATGTCAACCCGGGTCCTAGATATGATGACTACTCGGTGAATTCTTGTTATTTAGCGGTGAACTTTTAGTGAAACTCAAGCAAACAAAACACAAAGCAAGTAAACGGTTTGTTGTCAAGTCAAGAGAGGTCACCCGGATATGGTTTCCCCCTAGACCGCAGTTAAGTCGGATTGCAATTTGCCAAGTTCAGTTTTCATGAAAGTTATACTGCGGAAGGTTCTCAATTAGCCTGAAGTCTCGACTAAAGGTCTCCAGACCCTCTCAATCTGAGTCTCTAGCGGGCGACTAACCTCCACCGGAGTAAACAGATTGAGGCCCTAATGAGCCAAACCTCCACTACCGAATCGACTTCGGTACAGAATAGCGAATTGGCTCCTCGACTAAAGTCACCAATTCGCTACCTTCGATTAAGGGTACTCTATCAACCTAGGCAGATATTCTCATTCCAGGTTAAAGCAGAACAACAGGAATTTGATCAGGATTCAAGTCATTCAATCAATCAAACCTCAATCGAATATAATCAATTCACAAACACTGTACTTGGGTTCATACAATCAGACCTAGCATACAAATCTAGGGTTCTCCATACCCAGATGAATGGGGAAACTACTCCATAGAGAAAGAAGCAAAAGCAGATTCAGACACGGAATTCATACTGTGAAGTTGGATTCCTGCTTCTGGACGTTTAATCGCACTTCTCCAAGCTCAAGACGGGCTCCAATGGCGTTGAAGATCGATCTATGGCGCTTGAGAACTCTGGTTCGACGCTTTCTCTCTCTAGGTATCGGTTTCTCTCTCAAAAACTCGGAACCCTTCAATGTTGGCCTACTTCTCTCTTAAATCCTCTGCCTGGTCGCGATACCCGGTCAGAATACCCGGTCGGGTATTTTGAGTTGTGACCGGGTATTCTACAGCGCACCGTTTCACTAAAGAGGGAAATCCCCGGTCCAACACCAAAATCCCCGACCGGGGATTTAACTGCTGTGCCCGGGCCCCTCGCTGCTTCTCGGGCGCCCAAAATTGGTTAATACCCGGTCGGGTATTTGGCCACCTGACCGGGTATTTTCCTCTTTCAGCTCTATTCGTCCCAACCTTGCTCCTTTCGGCCCAGAACTCGTTTCTCCGCCTCGATTCCAACGCCGGGACCTGAAATATGACATAAACACACAACCTAGCGTGAAATCGGCTTAAAACACGAGATTCCTCGTCGCAAACGGCCTCAGAATAGGGGTAAAAACATGTATAATTATCGGTCTATCAACGACTTTCGCCGTGAGATGCCGGATAGCACTGTCGCCGGAGATTTCACGCCGGAGACGAAGACATCTCGCCGGAGAGGACGACTTTTCGTCGGAAGACGACGGAGAGCAATGTCGCCGGAGGTTTGGGAGAAGAGCGTCACAGGAAAAGAGGAGCGTTGTGTCGACGGAGAAGACATTAGAGCGCCTCGCCGGAGAAGAAGACTCGTCGCCGAAGTTATATCTTATTTTTGTACGAAGGACCGCCGACAACGTCCTGTCCAGACGTCACCGACGATGGACAAACGTCCAGTCCCGGCGTCGCCGACGACCGCGCGACGTCTAGCCAGGACGTTTGTCCATCGCCGGCGACGTCTGGACAAGACGTCACCGTCGCCGGCGGTTGGTTGGTCGGCGGTTTAACTAACCGCCGGCGACGGTGACATCCTGTCTAGACGTCGCCGGCGATGGACAAACGTCCTGTCCAGACGTCGCCGGCGATGGACAAACGTCCTGGCCGGACGTTCGTCCGTCGCCGGCGACGCCCGGACAGGACGTCGCCGGTAATTTTTTTTTAATTTTAATTATTATTATTATTATTAAATTTGTTTTATATTACAAATATTTATGTATCAAAAATTTATTAAATGAAAGAATTTATTTTTATTAATTAGTTTTACATCGGAGTTAATTGTTGTTATGATTTATAAAATTTATTTCAATTTGGATTTAGATTATGAATATTAGGTTGTATTGATTAATAAATATACGAAAGCTTAATGATTTAAATATAGAAATTTATTTCATGGAAAGTATTAATTGTAGTACGAATCTTAAATTGTAATTGATAAATTTATTTAGCAAGGAAATTAAGTTAGAATTTATTGTGAAATTCATTATAATCCGAACATTATATTGTAATCCGAAAATTTATTGTAATTGAAATTATATACGAATATTATTATAATGAGAAATATACGAACATTGAATCATTTGAATATACAAAATTTATTATATGAGAACGAGTAATTATCATATGAACCTTGATGGTTCGACGTCCTGCTGGGACGTCGCCGACGATGGCCCAACGTCCCGCCAGGACGTCCGGCGTTGTCTGGCGACACACTTTCCTCATGTCCGGCCGTGGTGCCGACTCGTATTTGGTACATCACTAGTGATCTCCGGCGAGAAAGGCGGTGGTGACGCGGTGATGATGATCGGCAGATATGGCTTCCGGCGACATTGGTCGACCAACGAGGGTTGCCGGCAATGATTGTTTGGAGAGTGTATTTTGAAAAAAAAGAGTTATTTTTTGCCAGGGGTATTTTAGTGAATTTAGTTTTTTAGGGCTATAAATAAGCTTTATTTAGGGCTACAAATAGCACACCCCTAAATTTTACCATAAGCTATTGATTAGTTAACTTTGACATAACAATTCCATTATTTTTAACTAAAATATTTAACTGGTCCAATCTACGTTATTTTCTAAAATTTGATTTTATCATTAGACCACTCATTATAAAAGATTTATACAATAATATTCAATAATAGTTTTTATATCCTACATCCAATTTTATCATAAACTCTCAATTAGTTAACTTTGACATAACAATTCCATTATTGTTAACTAAAATATTTAACAGGTCTAATCATATTTTACTTTCTAAAATTGGATTTTATCATTAACCACACATTATAAAAATTTATATAATAATATTCTATAATATATTTTTTTTATCTCCTACATACAACTTCACCATAAACTATCAATTAGTTAAATTTGACATAACAGTTCCATTATTATTAACTAAAATATTTAACAGGTCTAATCATATGTTACTTTCTTTTATAATTATACCACACATTATAAAAAATTTATGTAATAATGTTCTATAATAGTTCTTTATCTTCTACATCCAATTTTAATCATATGTTATTTTCTCTTTATTTTATAGAATTTAATTTTATTATTAGACCACACATTATGAAATATTTATGTAACAACATTTTATAACAGTGTATCACATAAACAAACAGATGTATGTTATTCGTAACAATTAAGACATCACGTGAAGCTTACATATGTATCTTATCTTAATAATTTTTGAATAATTCTATTTAAACTAAATCATCAGTTTCTTACCGCGGCGGAGCGCGGGCCAAAAAACTAGTCGACATTAACCGACAAGATGCATTTTGGGGTGAAATGAAAGAGTTCTTGTGAGGATTTCGTAGTTAAACGTGCTCAATGTAAAGTAAATCAAAGATGAGTAACCTTATTAGAAATTACTTTGAATTGTATCTCAAGTCAAAATACGGGAGGGATTTATACAAGTTATAAAACGTGCGTTAAAAGTTAGAAGGGCCAACAACAACAAAAATTATACAGATTCATAGCAATTTCAGTTGTACAATAACCGAGTTTTCAGATTACCCTGGATCTTTTCCAAATTTTCAGGCACACGACTTTTTCATTCCCCACAAAGTTCATCCTCTCTACCAACACATACAAAACCCTCCCCTTCCCGTTTACTTATCCGCCTCTAGCTGTAAACTGAATTCACACAGCCAGTAAAAATCAGTAAACAAAAGAAATGGGTTCGATCAATGGAGGAGAAGAAGACATCCTCCACGTAATGTTCATCCCATTCTTGGCACCAGGCCACATGGTCCCGATGGTAGACATCGCCAGGCTCTTCGCCGCCGCCGGCGGCAGAGACATCAGAGTCACGATCCTCACTACAACCACCAATGCACGCCGCATTTCCTCCGCCATTGACCGCGATTCCCTCTCCGGCCGCCGCATCTCCCTCATCACCCTCGCCTTCCCTTTCAAAGAAGCCGGCCTCCCGGAAGGCTGCGAAAATCTCCTCTCCGCACCCACCCCTGAAATCAACTTCAAGCTCTTCCACGGCATCGAATTGCTCCAGCCGGAGATGATCGATCTGGTACGGACCCACCGCCCCGACTGCCTAGTTACTGACTACCTTTACCCTTGGTCCGCCGACGTTTCCGCCGAGCTCGGAATCCCCAGGCTCGCCTTCAGCGGCAGTGGTTTCTTCAATCTATGTATCGCCGACAGCATCGAGGCCAACAACCCGCACGCCCAAATCTCGTCGGAGTCTGAAGAATTCGTCGTCCCGGGAATTCCGAACCGCGTAACCCTAACCAGATCTCAGCTTCCCGATATTGTGAAAGGGGAAGCGAAACTGTCTAGGTTCTTTGACAAATTAAAACAGGCTGAGAGAAGAAGTTACGGAGTTATAGTTAACACGTTTCATTCCCTAGAGGCAGAGTACGCAGACCATTATAGAAGAGTCACAGGATTAAAAGCATGGCAATTGGGACCCGTATCGTTGTTCATCAACCGGAATTTCGATGATAAGATCAATAGAGGTGGGAAATCAGACGTAAATGCAGAGAATTGCTTGAATTGGCTCGACTCCATGAAACCGAACTCTGTTCTCTACATTTGCCTTGGAAGTCTGACTCGATTCAGCAAACCCCAAATCACCGAAATTTCTCGCGCATTAGAGGAATCGAGCCACCCTTTTATCTGGGTATTGGCTAAGATCCTGAAACCCAACGTGGAGTTCGATCAAGTCGACGAAGGTAAGGAGCAATGGTGGCTGCCGGAAGGGTTTGAGAACAGAGTAAAACAGAGTGGGAAAGGGCTGATCATCAGAGGATGGGCCCCACAGATGGCGATCTTGGAACACGCGTCGATCGGAGGGTTCGTGACGCATTGCGGGTGGAATTCGATAATGGAAGGGGTTTGCGCCGGGGTGCCGATGGTGACGTGGCCGATTTTCGCAGAGCAGTTTTACAACGAGAAGCTGGTGACTCAGGTGATGAAGTTTGGGGTTTCGGTAGGGAATGAGGTGTGGTCGGTGTGGGCGACGGAGGAGTTGCCGTTGATTCGCGGGGAGAGGTTGAGAAGCGCGGTGGAGGTGGTGATGGGCGGCGGCGTGGAGGCGGCGGAGATGAGGAGGAAGGCGGTGGAGTTGGGGAAGGAGGCGAAGAGAGCCGTGGGAGAAGGTGGGACGTCGAGTGATGAGTTGAAGGGTTTGTTGGAGGAGATTAGAGGGTGTAAAAGTAAGAGAAGAGGGGTAGAACACGTAGCTTGAATTGTGGCATTTTTCGGTTTAGGTAGTAAGAACAAATTAAAGAGACTCCATCCATGTCCATTGAAATGTGAAATTTGTATGCATTATGCTCGTTTGCATGCATTATTTTCATTCAGGATGGGAAATCTTTTTTTGTTTTTGTTTTTAACTGTGTTTATTACCTATATCTTTGATAGGGGTGGTAATCGGTCGGTAACCGGTTTACCGGTTACCGACCGACCCAGTTACCGGTATACCGTTCACAACAGGGGAGAAGCCGGATACCGATACCGGTTTGTAACCGGTTAACCGGTTACCGAACACCCGGTTAACGGTTACAAACCGGTTATACCGGCTACCCGTGAGACACACCTCCTCCGCTCTTTATCATTCACCCATTCTCGACAATCAGACTCTCTCTCTCTCTCTCTCGAACCCTCCCCAGCCCACCTCTCTCTCTCGTTCATCTCATCTCCCCATCCCTACACTAATCGCCGCCCCACTTCTCGATTTCCTCTCATCTCCCCATCCCTACACTAATCGCCGCCCATCGCTGCCGTCGCAGTTGTCGCCGCCACTGTTGTCGCCGTAGCCCTCCCTTTGCGCCTACGCCGTCGTCATCGCCGTCGTACACGCAACATCTTCCCCGACGACGTCCTGCGGTGGCTTCGGATCCAGAATCGAGATGGAGGTTGCATGTGTCGGCCGCCGGATCTGGAATCGAGAGGGAGAGCGAGCGTCGGATCTGGAAACGAGAGGGAGATTGCATGCGTAGGATCTGGAATGGAGATGGAGGAGAGCCGCGACGAGGGAGACTATGTCGCCGAATCTGGAATCGAGGGGGAGGTAGAGCCGCCGCGTGATGTACAGATTGGATGGCGCCGGCTCCGGAATCGAAAATTGCTTCTGGGTTCTCCATAACGTCGACGACGACTGAGGAGTGGAGAACGATTGTGGTTGTGCGACGCAGATGGAATTGGGAGAGATGGAGGGGTTTTGTTTCTGGAATTCAGAGGGAATCGAGAGAGATGGACAGAGATAGAGGGGTTTTGTTTCTCGAATTTGAGGGAATCGGCCAATTCGGAGAGATGGAATTGGGGATTTGTGTTTGGAATTGAGAGGAAATTGGGAGATGGAGAGAATTGGGCAAAGTGGGGAGTGTAATCGGTATTAGTCGGTATTACCGAATACCGTCGGGTTTTAACCGGGTATGGATCGGTATACCGGCAGCTGGATTTTGTCCACCGTATACCGATACCGCCGGTTAATGGTTTACCGTTAACCGCCGGTTATCGGTTCGGTAACCGGTTAAACCGTTAACCGAATACCCGATTACCAGCCCTAATCTTTGACAAGTCTCGCACAATGATTTTTATTTGATGTTATGAAATGATAGTCGTCCAATCTTATGGACATGTGTTCATGCCTTGGCGGAATACATTGACACGTTTCTTTAAACAAGTTATACAAGATTGTTTTGTAAATTGGTCCGTGAACAATCCATAAACTTGGCTGGAATTTGCCTAGTTTTTGGGAGTATAAGCTAGAGCACGAACACACTTCGGCTCTAAGCAAGCAGAATAGTAAGAAGTTGTGTTTCTCCCGCCAAACAAGCTTTGCACACTCCAAAGACGAGCCACATACATGTTTGTGTTTTGTGTGTGTATTTTTTTATAAGTGTGATTTTATTTATTCAATTTTTAGTGGTAAAAAAAAGAACAAACAAACCAATACAAGCACCCTGGCAAGGCTATTCTTTCACACACTCAGCCTTGAACCAGGGTCAATATACATTGATCACACTTTGCAGTGTTCTGTGCGTTTTGTTTTTAAATATTATCAAATATTATAAGTTGTGTTTGGATAGACAGATTTGAATTTAGAATTTGGAATTTCAAATATTAAATCATTTGTTTGGATACTAATTAGGACTTTGCTACGGTGACTTGCAAAGCATCGTGAGTTTGACAAAATGTTCGACCTCTTTGAGCAAAATGGTCGACCTGTTTACTGGAATGGTCGACCAGATGTACTATTTTTCCATTATACAATGTTCAACAAACGGTCGACCTCTTCCATTAAAAGGTCGATCACTTTACAAAAAAAGGTCTACAACTTCCACCAAGCGGTCCACCGCTTTCAGCAGTCGGTCAACAACCATTGTTAGTGATTTCATCATGTATAATTAGAGTCCAAAAGTAATATATATGTTTGCTAGTAAGAGATTTAAAATTAGTACAAAGACTAGAACATAGATGACATGTTTCTTGAGTGATTGTTCTTCCGTATATGTGAAAAATATTTTGCATATTTATTTATAATATTGGACTTACTCTATAGTGACTTTCATCTTTCCTTCAAATTCTATGTTTGCTTGTTGCTATCATATAATTGTCTTGCGATGCATAAATTTTGTTGCTATTGTTGTTATGAATTTTTTTGGGCAATTATTGCTGTTATGAAGATGCTCAAAAAGTAGAGTATAATTGTTATACAATTGTGTCATATTCAAAATCAATAAATCTCATATCATCTTGCTCTTGTGGATTTTTATTCCAAAAGTGTTACAAAATGTGTTGTTTCTTTTGTCTTGGCTTATAATCTTCATAGGAATTTGGTTGGCCACTTGAAGTAAAATGTGTCATCAGGTCGACCACTTGATGGAAGTGGTAGACCATTTTCTTAAAAATTGGTCGACCACTTGATGGAATAGGTCGACCATTTGAAGGTAAGTGTATCATCAGCTCGACCACTTGGTGGAAGCGGTAGACCATTTTCTTGGAAAGTCAAAGTGGTCGACCACTTAACAGAGGAGGTCGACCGTTTTCTCCAAGTAACGGTGACTAGCAATAGGCTTACCCTACTAATTATACATAGTATTTGGTAAATTTTAAATGAATATCTAGTATATAAGTTTTGAATTTCCAATACATATCAACAACTAAAGATTCAAATTACTCATAACAATAGATTTGAGCCTATTTTTGCAATATTATACAAGTTTAGATGTTATAATACAAGTAAAAAAATATGAAGTACTAAAACATAATTTCTCAGCCAATATTTCTGGACCTATTTGTACAAAAATGAAAGTTAAGGTACTAAATGATCAAACAATTTATTTTGAATACTAAAATTTATTTTTTGAAAATTGAAATATGTGACAAAAAAATCAAAATAGAAAAAAAACTCATAAAATTTGAAATACCAACATGTTAGAAATGAGTATCCAAACAATGAATTTGAAATACATCTACCGAAACCTCTGTTTTCAGAACCGGACCGGAAGCTGAACCGAAAAGGTTAGTGGTTCATTGGTTAACCGTTATAAAACCGTTGGTGAATCGTTTATAGAACTGTTCACACATATAAAATAGAAAGACACATAGTAAGATAGCTTGGAGGAACTACGTACAACTGCACAGGTGATGGATCAGAGTGAAATAATACCTGCTTGTGGAGTAGCTGAGCAGTGCGATGGAAGTAGAATGATTGGACGAGCTTAGGGTTGGCCCTACTGTAGCTAGAGAGGGGGGGGGGAAAGGAGCAAGCGCTAGGGTACAGAAACAAGAAGAGAAAGTAGATACGTAGATTAGGATTTAGGGTTGTAACTGAAAGTTTGTTTCGGGTCGGCGACGATTCAAGCTTCGTATCTTTGTTTTCAAATTTTTATTCTAGGAGTAGCGGACCGCATGACCACTTAGACCGGTCGGCTCCCCCGGTTCAGTTACAAAATGTCCAAAACCGCACGGCCCATTATTAGTCGCGTGACTACATGAGCCGAACCGCTATCAGTGCCGGTTGGCGGTTCTTCCGGTCCGACCCGATTCTTACAACAAGGACTGAAACACACCATAAGAGGAAATTTACAATGTTTTAAAGTATGTGTGATTTTTTTTTTGCCTTTATGGTACAAACTGAATTTAAACTTTCAACGTTATGATACATATTTAGTTTGTAACTATACTTTTTTTTAAAACAATTATGGTACAAACCAAACTTGCACCATAACATAAATGTGCAAGTTTTCTTATGGTGAAATTTAATTTGTATCTCGAAACACTAATACTTTAAAGCATAGTAGAAGACTCATTCATTAAGGATTGATAAAAAAAGTCAATGTAGCGGTGTAACTCTTAGGTCATTTGTTTGTTGGATTTGGGGATGGATTTCACATCGAAATCTCAAAAGTGATGAATTTCAACAATTCTCTTGTTTGTTGGGTAAAAAAATTGAAAGTCAAATTCCACTTACTTATGGATTTGAATACTAAAATGTCTTATACCAAAAATTGTAATATGTCACCAAAAAATAAAAATTGAAAAAGAAACTCATAAAATTTGAAATACCAACATGTTAGAAATGAGTATCCAAACAATAAATTTGAATTAAATGGATTTCAAATGCAAGTATATTAATTTCACGATTTCAAATACATCTATCCAAACACACTCTAAAAGGAAGTTTACAATGTTTTTAAAGAATGTGTGATTTTGTTTTTACGTCTTTATGGTACAAACTGAATTTGTAATTTCAAGGTTATGGTATAAATTTTGTTTGTAAATATTTGTTTTGTAAAAACAATTTATGGTACAAACCGAACTTGTATCATAATATAAATGTAAAAAGTTTCTTATGGTAAAAATTTAAGGGTAAATACAATATATTATCCATAATTATTAAGTAGCGGGGAATTATAGCCACAATTATCGAAATACAAATTATTAGCCATAACTATTGTTGTGGGTCAAGATTTGGCTAACAGCGCGTTACTGTTTTCAATTTTTAACGTAGAAGGCCATGTCAGCATCGTAAAAAATATGATATGATGATTGCCACGTGGGAGCCAGCTCACCATCGTAAAAGTTTAGTCATCATTACTAACAGAAGTGTTAACGAAAACTTAACGATTGGCTAATAATTTGTATTTCGATAGTTGTGGCTATAATTCCCCGCTGCTTGATAGTTATGGCTAATATATTGTATTTGCCCAAAATTTAATTTGTATCTCAAAACACCAATACTTTAAAGTATAGTAGAAAGCTCAGCCTTTAAGGATTGATAAAAAAAGGGAGCGGTTACGATGATTACTGTTAGAGAGTGATATAAGATCCAACATAACCTTCTCCCAACAACTCGAGTTATTGAGACCAACTGGTTTATGACATGGTATCAGAGTTGGTTTGGCCAAGTCGTCGTGTGTTCGAATCTCCACGACACCCAATATTAACAGTTGATTAAAAAGCACATGGTATGGTGGGCCTGTGCAAACTTCAAATCCAGGGCGTGTTAGAGAGTGATATAAGATCCAGCATAACCTTCTCCCAACAACTCGAGTTATTGGGACCAACTGGTTTATGACAATTACTACAAAAATAGTAGTCGTCGTGGTTACTAAGGGTAAATTGAGTATGGAAAAATATATTATATTAATTAATTAATTTTAATAGATTACATTTTAGGTATTTACAAAATCTATTAATTACAATTTTTTCTCTTTTTCTCACTTTCGTAATCTCCAGCCAGATCTCCTTTCCATATTTTTCTCAATCTTTCTTCAAAAGAAAAAACACGAAATCACTACCAATCCATTAGACAACCACAACCATTTTGAAAAACATCAATACCATTGCAGAAATAAATCTATACCATTACACGAAAACTACCAATATAAACAATCTATACCACTACTACTATGAAATCAAAACAATACCATTGCATAAATAAATCAATACAAACACTACCAAAACAAATACAGAGAAACTACCAAATCATAATTCAAACACTACCAAACCAAATGCAAATAATTACCAAAACATAATGCTCCATCTAACCAACACAAATGCAGGTAACTACCAAAGAAAATGTAGGTAACCACCAAAGCATAATGCAAACACTACCAAAGCATAATGCTAACAATACCAAAATAAAATGCAAGGTAGCTACCAAACGAAATCCTCTACCAATGCAAGCACTACCATTCTAGATTACATGCAGAAGCAAAACTGAACGCTTCCTCCGGCAAACTATATTTGATCTCTCTGATCGGGTTTGCGTTTCTAACCACGACCTCGACCGGTGATCCATGTTCGGAACCCAGTGCCGCCGTCAGCAACGTCGGAGGAAGAATCGAAAGTGGCGGGGGAATCAGCGTCGTCGAGGCGGTCCCGATCTGGGACGCGAGCATCCATTGATGGTGATGTAGCTTCTGGTGACGATTTGGGCTTCTTGGTATTCTTCGCCGCCGATTTGGGTCTGCTATAGTTTCAGCGGTGATGGGTGAAGAAAAGGAAAAGGAAAAGGGGAGGGAAGAAGAAGAAGGGGAAAATGGATTTAAAAGGTTTAAGAGGTATGGGCGTTTGAATAAAAAGATGGTTGGAGGGGAGGACTGGTGGAGCCAAATTTGCGGTGGCCGGCGATTGAAGATGAAGGGGAGAGATACAGTGGCTATTATAGAGGAAGGAGATGAATAAGGTTATTTAGGGTTTAAAGAAAATATATGTGAATCCTATTTTAAGGATAGTAATCAAGTGAGGTTATTATTTTTGCAAAATTATCCCTAAATCCTGATCGTAGGTTTAAAAATATTAAGAATAAAGGGTAGAGATATAGGTAGCCACGATGGTTACTTAAAAAAATAGTAACCATCCTAACTCATCCCATAAAAAAAAATTCAGTTGCATATGTAGCGGTGTGATTCTTAGGGTCATTTGTTTGCAGGATTTGGGGACGGATTTGACATTCAAATCTTAAAAGTGATGTGATAGACCGTTAATTACACATGTTTTTACCCCCGTTCTTACACCGTTTGAGGTGTTGATTCTCGTGTTTTAGGCCGATTTCACGCTAGGTTGTGCTTGTTTGTGATATTTCAGGTCCTAGTACGTGAATGGAAGCTTGGGAGCGAGTCTGGGGTCGATTGGACGAAGATCGGACGCGTGGCGAGGTGTCAAGGAAGCCGCACGGGCAGACCGGGGCATCACATGGCCGTGCAAGTGAGCAAGATGGCCGTGTGATTTTTGCCGAGGCCAAACACGGGCAGACTGGAATTCTCACACGGCCGTGCAACCCTGGCCGTGTGAGATGGCTGAAGATCGACTAATTGATGCGCTGCGTTTCGACTCGCACGGCCACTTGGGTGAGCCACACGGCCGTGTGGCCTGCCCGTGTGAGTCGGGAAATTCTGGTTTTTGAGCCAATTTTGAGCCAAAAGTGAGAGAATCGGATTTTCAGAGCAAAAACAGAGCCCTAGAGAGAGAAAGTGCGAAGAACACATCCTAGAAGCTATCTTGGAGCTGGTTTCATCGAATCGAGCTTGGAGATCGTCATAGGAGTGGAAATCATCATCCCGGAGCAGATTTTCCTCATCATTATGAGTATGACTAATCCGATTACTGTTTTCTCTTCTCTCTCTATGGAGTAGAAACCTTCTCTCCCTTGGGTATGAAGAACCCTAGTTCCTTGTGTTAGGGATTTGATTGTAATAACTTGGGATGATATTAATGTTTGATTTTAATCGAATGATGCATGTTTATTGAATTGATTGGAGTCTGATCAGCTTTTCTCGATTTCTGCTGCAACCTGAGGTAGATAGAATCTGATTAGGTTGTTAGAGCCTCTTCATTTGATAGTAGGAGATTGGCTATACGAGAGTTAGCCAGTTTACTGCTTTGTACTGGAATTCAATTCCAGTAGTGGAGTTCTGTGTTCATAGCCTCAGCTTTCTATCCCGGTGAAGACTAGTCGTCTGCCGGGTAGTTAGACTGAGAGGGCTTGGTCAGCTTAAGAGATTCCAAGCTACTGTCGGAACTTCCGCAGTCTAATCAACAGTGAATCAACCCAGGGGAATTACAATTGGACCTAACTAAGGGTCTAGGGGGACTCAATCCCGAGTGACTCTTTCCTGACTTTGAAAACCGAATTATTACTTGCTTTCTTACTGCTTTTGCTTTAGACAACAATCACTCGAATTAGTTAGCTAGATAATAAATCATCACGGAGTAAGCAGTAGATCTAGACCCCGGGTTGATAATTGAACTTGCCTGTTACTGCATTCCCGGACTGCGATTACACTTGGTCGCAGTTTGGTGTTGTGTTTTGGCGTGTCAAGTTTTTGGCGCCGTTGCCGGGGACCCTCTAGGTTATTGGGGAAACGTGAGAATTTGTTACTCTAGCTTTTTATTTACTGCATTTTATCTCTTCCACCTGTGTGCCTTCACGGGTTGCTTCTGCTGATTGTGTGCAGGTAGTGCATGACCCGTAGCCAGTCGGGAGAACTACTACCATTAGACCAGGAGCTTGAACGAACTTGCAGGAACTTCAAGCGGGCTCTAAAGGCGCGACTGGCTGCGGAGGAGGAGCTATCACAGCTGCAGTTAGAAGAAGAAGAAGAAGAAGAGATGGCTGATCCACAGAACCATGATGTGATCAACCCAGAGGAGCAGACCATGGGATCCTACTGGACCGCTAGAGCTGCGGATATGAGGTCACCCATTCAACACCCTCATGTCCCAGCCAACAATTTTGAGGTGAGCACCTCAGTGATCACCATGTTGCGCGGTTCAGTGGTGTTCCGTGGTAAGGAGGGAGAGTGCCCCCGATCACATCTCAGGCGATTCCACGAGCTCATCGATGGAATCAAGATCAATGGGGTACCAGCAGATGCCATCCAGCTGAGGTACTTTCCATTCACTCTGGAGGGGCAAGCCAAGGAGTGGCTAGACACTCGACCTCCGGGCTCTATCACCACGTTCGCCAACCTGGCGGACAAGTTCCTTACCCGCTACCATCCTCCATCCAAGACAGCTGACCTGCAGAAGCAAATCACACATTTTGCTCAGGATGAGGATGAGACCATCAGGGATGCTTGGGAGAGATACACCAGTCTCTTTCTCAGGTGTCCCAATCATGGTTTCAATGATGCATTCAAGGTGGGCACCTTCTATCACGCCCTCTTCCCGGAGGACAAGCAGCTGATTGACTCAGTTTGTGGCGGGAACATGCTGACCAAAACCCCGCCACAGCTGAATCAACTCTTTGAGGAGATGGCGGAGAACGGGTACGATTGGGGCACCGCCAGGAGATCGAGACGAGCGCCAGGACGGGGTGTGCATGCTGTAGGCACCCAGTCATCTGATTTGGTGCAGGTGGTATCGAAGCTGGTTTCAGCTATTGATCGTTCTGGTTTGATTGTAGGTACAGGATAGCCGCAGGCGATGCACCGCCAGTGGTGTGAGAGCTCTCATCACACCATGGAGGACTGTCAGGCGATGAACTTCATCAGGAGCAGGTGAACTTCATCAACAACGTCAGGCGCAATGACCCCTACAGTAACACTTACAATGAGGGGTGGCGCCAGCATCCTAACTTCTCCTCGGGTGGGGCAAATTCCAGACCACCAGTCCCCCAGGGACCACCGGGTTTCCAGAGGCCACCATATCAGCCCAGACAGGGGCAATTCCAGCAGCAACAGTCTCTCTACCAGCCCATGCCGGGGCATGCTGCTCAATCACAGCCGCGACCTTTCCAGCAGCCAGGTGCAGCCCTTGCTGCCCCAGTGCATAATGATCAGTTGGCTGAACTGCAGGACTTGGTGGGTTCTCTCGCCAGTTCTAGTGCTCAGAAATTCAACACTATTGAGCAGTTCATGGAGAAGGCCTCGGGTAAATTCTTGGCTCTTGAAGCTGGTCAGAGGAACACACAGGCTGTCTTGCAGGATATCCAGACCCAGCTAGGGAGCGTGGCTCAAGTAGTGGCTCAAAGGGCTCCTGGTACTCTACCCGGGCAGACCATCCCTCATCCGCCAGCCCCGAATGAGCACTGCAATGCCATCATAACCAGGAGTGGCAAGGTGACTGTTGATCCACCTGCTCGGGAACTAGAGAGAGAGACCCCTGTCTTAGCATCTCCAGCGGTTGAAGAAGAGGCAGAGAAGGAGGTTGAGGTGCCTGCACCTAATCCGAAACCGGTAGTGAAGGAGTATATCCCGAAACTTCCCTTCCCTACTCGGTTGCGCAGAGACAGGCTGGAGGCAGAGTTCGAAAACTTCATGGCCATGCTTAAAAAGCTGAATGTCCAAGTGCCCTTCCTGGAGGCACTATCACAAATGCCTAAGTATGCGAAGTTTCTGAAAGAGCTTCTCTTGAAGAAGCAGAAGCTGAGTGAGCTGGCCACTGTGGAGCTCAGCGAGGAGTGCTCGGCTATTCTGCAGAACAAGCTTCCGCAGAAGAAGAAGGACCCAGGTAGTTTTACTATCCCGTGCTCTATTGATAAATTGCATGTAGAGAGGTCCTTGGCGGATTTAGGTGCTAGTATCAATGTTATGCCGTACAAATTGTTCAAGAAACTAGGCCTAGGTGAACCCCGTGCCACTAGGATGACCCTTCAATTAGCTGACCAATCTGTAGTGCATCCTAGGGGCATAGTGGAAGACCTTCTGGTTAAGGTTGGCAAATTCAAATATCCTGTGGATTTTGTTGTCCTGGACATCAATGAGGACACAGAAGTGCCCCTTATACTGGGAAGGCTTTTCCTGGCCACCGCCAAGGCTCTCATAGATGTGCATGATGGGACCTTAGTTTTGAGGGATGGCGAGGAGCGAAAACGTTTTCAGTTGCTAACACTCTACCTGCTTCGTTACCTCTGCATGCTGTATCTCACCGGGAGCACGAGTCTGTCGTGTATCCTTCTGTGTTGCCTATTTTGCAGGATCGGCATCCCATACCTTCGCCGCCACTCCAGTCCACACCACCCCCAAAAGAACAGATCAAGGAGGAGTGGCGGCCGAAACTGCAGGCAACTAAGGCTGCTCGAAAGAGAGCCGGAGACCACTACGAGCTGGTCCCGCCCCCACCTTGGCCATCCGAGTATTCACTCGTTTGCATCTTGCCGGATGGCCAAGTCGAGCTGGCGAATGCTGGTGGCCACATTCGTCGCGTGCATGGCCACCATTTGAAGCTGTACCTCAAGAGCGATGTGGATCCGCTCTTGAAGGCACTTGATCCTACACTTCCCTGAGCATCCATACTGGCGTCCAGCTAAAAGACGGTAAAGGAGCGCTTGTGGGGAGGCAACCCCACCAAGGTTTGTTTTTCTTTCGTTTGTTTTTGTCGGTTTGTCCACTTGGAACTATGGTTTCTATCACCCAGTGTGTTTGCTGATGCAAGCCCCGCTGACTGGTCCACTTCCAGTCCCCCAGCAGTGTTTCAATCCGGTAACATCGTTCCCCTTATCTCTCCCTCTACTCCATTGAGGGCAATGTCGTGCTTGAGTGTGGGGGGGGTGCTTTGTATTGGTTGGAATATATATTTGGGTGCTTGGAGCCTAGTCCGCTGTCCGAATCTTACAATTTGAGGGCTCGAAGTACTGCTGTTTGATCATATT